ACACAAAAGAAGTGATATGAGAAAGAATAAGAGTTTCAACCCCAACGAACCTTGGAGTTTAGGGGGAGTTCAACCTGATACCAGTCCACGGCTCTTTTGTAGGGGTAGGGGGTGCATTGGGAGTGTTTTCGGGGCTTTCCCTACTGTAACTTTAACAATTGGCGGCGTGTGTTGCCTGCGGTAGGTAGGCTATGACTACATTAAGTTGTTGAGTGTGGATGGTTGAGGGTTTGCAGCTGCACTAGCACAGTGGTGTTTTCACACACACACAGCCGATGACTCACAAAGACACTCAACACATACACACCACACAACACACACACAGCGCAACACACACACACACATGTAGCTGGGATATTACATCCAACTGACACACAGAGAATTTGTTAGTTTTTTTTCGTTTCTTTAGTTTTTTTGGTTTCGTTTATTGGGTGGAAGGCTAACGGTTGCTCTGGAAATTAAACGAGAGCACCAAGTTTGTGCTTGGAGATATGTCGTCAGGGATAGGGGGATAATTTGAAACCGATAATGGTTGTTGCGTAGTCGTTAGTGTCGTGCAGTGGTTATAATCTGTGCGTTGTGCTATTAAAGCATCAGGTGTCGTGCTAGGAGGTCTGCTAGTTGATGCATTAGACTATGTATAGGAGTACTGGTTGTGGGTTGGTTATATTATCTATGATGTCGTTCTGTGCGGTCTCGTGATATCTACTTTTTTTCATTCGCACACGATCGACGTCTGCCACTTTTGTATTCCTAGGCTAGAGACCACTGATTGCTATAGTTATGTGGAGGTTGTATAGGATGTATTCATAGTTTCTAAGTCATATTTACTTTTAAATTTTGTTTTAACTGTACTAGTATCAATGTGCAGTCTATTTGTCATGTATATATATGCTATATTCTGGTTTGCTACTGTATGGGACTTTATTTATGTGTTTTTGTTCTTGATTGAATATTGATTTTCGGTTTGATCTTAGCTTGGATAACATTGTGAATAATAAATTTGTAGTAATATTATTTATTAGGTTTAGGAGTGGTATGATGACTCGTTTTGATCATTAATAAATTCTTCATATGATTTAACTTGCAAGGACCGAGCTTCGGTATTATATTTGTAGTTGTAATAATGATTGTAACATTTATTGCAGCTTTTTAATGAAGTAAGCTAAGGTATGATGGAGAGAGGAACTATGGACATATATAAACTTTAATTATATTATATATATGCTTATTATATTATATTTATATATATATATATATAATATATTATATAATAATACACACCACACACAACAACACACACACAAACACACACACACACAGACACACCACACAACACACCACACACAAACACCACAACTACATCATACATAATACATACATAGCATACATAAAATACATACATCTACATACATACATAATCATAAACACATAATATCAAAATACAACTACATAATAACACAACATACACACACACACACATACATACATACATAACAACTAACACACACACACACACACCAACATACACATACAATAAATACATAATGTTAACAGTATTGGGTGTCCTGGTGGATTGCTTGTGGAAAGACGTGAAGTGGGTACAACAAATACAGGGAGCAGGGAGATGCCGTGGCTCTGAGATATGGATTTCATGTCTTACGTAAGCCTGAGATGGGGGCAGAGATAGTATTAACCTGTGTGTGTGTGTGTGTGTGTGTGTGTGTGTGAGAGAGAGTGCGTGTGAGCCCCCACCCCCTAGATGGTGACATTTACTCAGCGCTGGCAGGTAAAACTGCATGCAAGAAATTGATTTGTGTCCATGCGTCTTTGTATGTTTAACCTTTATTTTCGGACTGGATTTTTGTGTGTTGTAGGTGGTGACACTGTGGTACAGAGCCCCAGAGGTGCTGCTCCAGTCCAGTTACGCCACGCCAGTTGACCTGTGGAGTGTTGGCTGCATCTTCGCTGAGATGTTCAGGAGAAGGTGAGAGGTGCAGAGAACACAGAGCCAATATAGGATCTGAAAATAGAGGGGAAAAAACACCATTATTCTAGCCTGATGATAAGACTTATTATTTTGGTCTAACAAACCAGTAGTTGGTGACATATCCAGTTTCAGTTAAGACGGATACTGCAGTAGCATTTTCTAAGAGTTTTAGCCCTGATTTTGGGACAGATGCTTTTCTTTGTACAAAATACAAAAAGTTTATCTTTATGGATTATATTGATGCCGAATTGACATGAAGACTATTGACAAATGACTCACTTTAACTTGTGTTTCTACAGCTACGTTTTGTAAGCAATTGTTAAAATGGAATATTTCTTAAAGGGAGTGTGGCGCAGGGAGCATTTAGTTTAATTCAAACCACCAATATGTTTGATTAATGGTTTAATGAAGTGTGTATTTATTACTGACACTGACTGATCAGACTAATCATCAGCTAATTGTACTCCATTTCTAACCGCAATATGCTGTAAATGCTTGCCCTTGGTGCATGTTTTTAAAGTACTTGCTAATTAAGCATGATGTGCTTGTTTTGAATGGTGTTATAATGACTCCTGATAAACACAGTTTGGAGACTCAGGATTACTCCTTGTGAAAGATGTTGTAGTGCGTGATCCCCCGTTGATGATCAGTCACGTAGTATAAAAACCAAAACTACAAAACTTCTGACTACAAGACAGATAGTTGTGTAGTGTGAACAGTGTACAGATCTGACATCTTTGAAAGTCGTGTAGTGTGAACAGTGTACAGATCTGACATCTTTGAAAGTCATGTAGTGTGACCAAGGCTTAAGATGACTTGCAACAACATGCATAATCTGGTACAGTACAATGATGAATGTTCATTCTTAATCCCGCCTACTAAAGCTCAGCTCTGATTGGCTCATTTGTTTTTCCAACCTTGGAAACATCCGTCAGTGAGCTCAACAGCAGACCTGTCTGAATCACTGAAAACATTAGAAATGTGACTCGCAATTAGGTCTGGAAGACTCCCATTATTCACACATCATTATTTTATAATTCTCATCATTCCCTCATTCAGGCACTGTTGCATCCTCCTCCTTCGCTGTACTGATTCGACATTAAAAGCACACTAAACACTTACACCCCAGCACTTGACAATTGACTCATGGTGTATCACGTTAGCACGTAAACGGTCACACGCTCACTGACCTGCATCAGCATAATATCTTTGCTAGATACAAGCTGGCCTCTCATTTTCAAAATTGATTTTACTGCGTTTTTGTGCAGTTTTATGTATACAATGTTTTTGTCGTCATCCCAGTATGAATTGTATTATTGAACTGACATTGCATTGTGTGTATCACCGGTCAGGCTATTATATGGCTTATAAGAGCCATTTGAGGTCATGAAGTGGGAAACTAACCCCTTTTACTCATGGTTTTACCACATTTACTGTTAAGACGAGCGATGATGATCAATGACCTGCAGGGATACACACATACTGTATACAGACATTCACATGCTCATATCCTTGTGACTAGGTCTCCTTATGGAGCCAGTCTCATTAAAACCCATCTGCCATCTCTTCTTTCCTATCAAGTGGTTTAACCATCAGCTTTAATACTGCTACACAGTATTTAATTGTAAAGAGATGTTCCAGTTCTATGGTTAATCGTCACCTGAATGATTGAAAGTGAAATAATTCCAGAGATGAGAATTTTCCATTTCTGTGCGCTACCTGTTTACTTTCAGCCGTCGCTACAGAATCCGTTTATTTGAGCATTTCTCAAACTTGTCAGCCTTTCCTCAAATGACACCTGTCAGATGCGTTGTGAGCAATTGCATTTCGGTTGGCTTATCAAACCATTACAGTAATGACAGGCTGCCTGCTGTGGTTGCAGCAAGCAAGTCAAGATTCTGCTTCTTGGTATAGGTATTTGTCAGTTTGTGGTCTAACGAACTTCACACACTGGAGAGCCAAGCTAATAACGGACCATTTTTCTTAACTGCCTGCCCATCGAAGGAAAAAAAGACACTTCCAGGGCATAAGGAAATATTTTTATCGTGATGGCATCATCTAATATTAATATTTATGTGCCGTAGTATGTAAAGAACTGTGTCTTGACATTGACCGTGAACTTTGGTCTAGGCAGCCTGTGGTGGTGTGCTTTGGAGTAGATAAGAACAGTCATTCTGAGGTAGGGCAGAGTGCCAGGAGGAGCAGCCCTGCCTGTAATTTATGCTTCCTTCCCCAACCGTCCTCACACCCCACCATGCACAGCCACACACAACGACCCGCGCTCTGCACGTGGTCCTCTATGGGTATATATCTCTAGTGGCAAAGGGTGACACAGGGTGAAGAGGCTGTCTCAGTCGTGGTATACAGGCGGACGACAAATGAAGGAGTGGAGAAACATAATGAGGGAAGACGCTACCATACAGGGACGAAGGGGTCTCCAAATGGTTTCTTTGTGTATCATATGCTATGTTCAAGCTTCATTTGATGACCTACTATAAAAATGGGGACACGTGACACTTTTTTCATAGTGCCAGACAAGATTTATACGTAAAAATGTTTTCACATACATTAAGACGGGCTAACGGAGGGGAGGGTGAAAGACAAGGGGCTGCTTTGATATTCCTGCTTTTCAGAACCAAGACCATTGATAATCAACTATGGTCATATTGGACTCCCATGTGAGTCTATACTGGCACAACTGCAAATCTTCAATGAAATGAATTCCCCAGTTCATAAACAATTCAGACAATACGTTTATATTATATATTATCTGGCTTCGTAAACATCCAAGTCGACAATTTGGAACCAAACCTCATCTGGATCTAAAACTGTTTGCACTATGTTAAATCTTTTATTTATGGAAATTTCACATCTGCCTTTACATCTCACTAAGGGTACAGCTAATGACTTATTTAATACAGATTAATCGGCTCAATATTTTCTTAATAATTCGTTTTTATTGTCTAATGGTCAGGATATTTCTCTTAAGTTAAAGCATCAAAATTTGTTCATCCATACAATACAACAGGACAAAGAAACACTAAAATGAGTGGGGATTTATATTTTTGAAAATATTATCAAATTTTTAGTCATTCATTCCTAAATCGACTAACATTTCAGCTGTTTTCTTTACATA